CGCGGGAACTTATACCGTTAAGAGAAGAAGAGAACTGCTTTATTCTTCTTTACGCGGTTTTGGTCTGGATGGTTTTGCAGGAACAACGTAACTGACCAGAATCAATACAACTGGTATGATTGTTCCAATGTAATATACACTCCCATAGGCAGTGAGTGTTTCGTGCAAGCTTAAGACCTGAAATATCGCGATTAAATGGAAAAGCGGTTAAGAAAAGGCGTTAAGAGTGATCGATCAGTGTGACGGGAGAGGGAAAGAAGTTAGTTTTTTTACCATGAAACCGACGGCTGAGTAGTTGAGAACCAAAACGGTGTAAAGAAAGTTGATGAACACCATGATTTTTCTTATCACAGCTAGTTTCGGACTGATCGCTTGCTGCCATCGGTAAATAACTGCAAAGAAAATAGCTTTAGATCAAGAAGAAGAGAGATTTCCACTAACAGTGAAACCGGGTAAAATTGTATTTACCCCGTGAGCCGGCGATCATCAAAGCTGATTGAACAAAGAAAATCATATAACCAGGATACAGTCCCTACAAAATCGCATCAGATGCGGTTAGTCAGTTTCTCGTGGGGGAAAAGATTGGATTTTTATATACATATGTATGTTCCTTTGTCATTGAAAACAGTCAAATTATGATATTTGCAGGATTTTTCAGGTTAAGAATTGGGAAGGACACGAAAAGAGTAACCGGGAAAAAGGAAATAGATGAAGAAAGAACTCACATGCCAAACCGCACTGATGGTTTGTGTAGCTAGTAACTGGAAGAAACCTGCTTTCTTCCCGTTCTTGACAAGTCTCTCATACACGTCTGTATTTTAAACAATGCGAATAAGTGGATAATCTCCATGATGACTGAGTTCACAGATCAGCCAGAGTTCTGATTTTTAAGGAATTAATCGTTCAAGTATATACTTACAGTGACGAAGCCACGTGCTGACTTGAATGTTCCATACAAGCGGAATCTGGACCGCGCTCTTAGCAAGTTCGACACCGAGAATGTCTACGTTCTTGGCATGGTCCCATTTAGGCTTTGGTGAAGCATCATCAGTCCAACCACTGAAACCCAAACCAGAGATGATAATAGAAGCCTCTGAAATTGACCAGATAAAGTAATACTTCCACCGAGCCGTTAATCCCGCCATGTATTGGTAACCAAATTTTCTCCAAAATCCCCATTCTTGGTACACGGGTTCAGTAAACCGAGTTAACGGGTATTGAGGCACTAAATAGAGATACAGAGCCATGCAAATCGCAGCTTGAAGAATAGCTCGGATTGTAGCTCCATAAGGCGATGGCTGCTTTCTTTTGTCAGAAGTATCCCAAATCTAGAAAGCACAAAGTTTACAGATTTACAAACTAGCATAACAGAGAGTACACAAGAAGAAGAAGCTTACTTACCCCTTTTCCTTCGGTCCATTCGAGATAATCTTTCATTTCATAAACTGGACCAGCAAAATGGCTACCACAACAGAGACAGTAACCAAAGTACTCAATCAAAGACGGCATCCGAATCAATCGGTTTTTCTTCTGAGCTTCACGTAGACCTTCCTCCTTCAAAATCCCATCATTGTAATTTATCGAACACGATATAACTTTCAATGTCAACACCATTAACGCTCCTAATACATCAAAGAAGGAAATCACAATCACTACTTGGACTAAACTCATAAAAAAACTCACAAGAACAAGAGCATCCAAAACAAAACGAAAGCATCTTATTCATAAAACCCAATTCAACCCATTATGAGAATGTAACAAGGGATTAAGATGAGGAATGAGATTAAGAGTACCAGTAGAGTCAATTCCTCCTTCTTTCCACGCATCTCCACTCATGTAAAACACATGACTACAAAAACCTCGAAATTGCACCATTAAATCAGTAGGGTCATGCAAAAAAGGAAGAAGATTTAGTTCAAAAATCAGTACTTGATACAGAGCATATAAAAAAGTTCAGATTTTTATTCAGTACCAGCCAATGAGATAAGCGAACCCCAGGAAGAATGTGATGATTCCACACTTGGGTCGATAAATCGCCATGGAAGCATAACCGATCGTCATCGGAACGAGGAAGTGGAGATTGGAAGAGAAACCGAAGGATAGGTAAGAGAGGAAAGCACCTGAAGCGAAGGAATATACGTGTTTACCGAGTCGACTCGGAACGATTCGCCATGCGAAGGAGACAGGAATCGTAGCGACGAAGCAGAGGAGGAAACGGAGGACGGCGACCGAAACGCCGATCGAGGCAGCCATGGAACCCATGTCCATCAATTCCATGGTATTGAAAATCGACGAATTGAAAACCCGGTTTTCAACTCGGACTGAGTCACGAGACCGAGTAGCTCCGGTAAGGGAAAAGGAAGCTTTATCAGAAGATCGTGTCGTGTCGTGTGCTTGTTCGCTTCTCTGTTTGTTGACGAAAGGTATCAAATTGACCTGTAATGAACCAATCGGTACGCTTTCTCAAAACCGGATCAGAATTCGGTTCGGTTTGATTGTAAACCGAATCCGAAATTGAATCAAATAAAAAAAGCCCTAATTTCCTTCCCTCTTTCCCAATCTTACGATCCCATAGAGTTCCTCGCGCCGTTCTCCAAACAGTTCATCGTCTTCTTTAGCAGTCGTTGCTTCTTCAGATTCTCTGTTCAAGTGGGTTTCTAGTTTTGGTATTGTTTTGCTCTTGTTAGGATTTAGTTTCGATTATGCTATGGTCAAGTTTTGATTTTTGTGTGTATGAAACTGTGTTTATGCTTTGGACTTCTTTCTTCTACAATCTTGTTTGGTGTTTTCTGATGCTATCTCATTGAAATAGCTCTAAAGCAAGCAACTTTCGTGCTCTTACACTTCTATGGTTTGTGTCAATCAAGAGGAATTAAGTAAAGAGTTTGTGATTTAAACCCAATTGTTGAAATTGTAATGTTCAGCTTGTAGTAACTAAACCTATATGAAGTTGGGATAGATTGTGTGTAGATTTTGTGTATGGGAGCTGGTTGTTTTCCATCACGAAGGCGCTATAGATGTGTAATTTGATTTTGTTTCTGTGTTTATGAATACATTTTTCTTTTCTGGTGGTTTGCTAATAGGCAATGCTCTATATGGTTTAGGTTTTCTCGAACATGAATGGAGCTGGTAAGTTTGAACCGAGTTCGAGTAAGATAGTTTTTGAGGACAGCGAAGAAGATCTCTCGTGTTCATCTGTGTCTTCTTCAGATGAGGTCAGGAGCTTTTAAAATATTTTATGAAACTCGAGAAATTCTTGTTTGTTGGTTTGTTTTTAACTTGAACTATTTTGTTTTAAATTGGGAATTAG